TAGAATGTATGAAGTTGTTTGAAACGACCATCGAGAAGATAAAGACAGTCATTGAACGTTTCAACATTGACATCTAATTTCATCAAAGTTGAAGAAGAAAATGTTACATATTCTCTTGGATGATTAAATGACAATCTTTCAACGAAGTTAATGTAAATATCAGAATATGGGTAAAACTTTAAACAGATTAAATTACTGAATATAGTAAAGACACGAGTACAGATTGTCTTCATTCCATCTGTTCTGAATATTTCTTTTTCATTGGCAGACAACGTGATGATCAGTGTCGAAATACGATTTTTTACAATGTGCCCGAAATGATCTTCCTCTAAACAGATAAAAACAATAAGAGACAAAATTGCAGTTTTCTTTCCAAATCGGAGTTTGAGAATAAGTCAAATTCGACATAAGACTTAATGCTACCATTATATTAATAGGTTTTTATATAAACTTGAAATTGTTTTCGATAAACATTGTACAGTGAACTATTCAGTTGTAGTAAGAATGAGAGATGTTCATTTTCATGTGCTTTATATATTTTAATGATTAAATCAATCAAAATTAAGGTTCTTACCAACAAACAGATGTGCAGCTGTTTCAGGTTCAACAATAAAAAGACCAAATCCACGTAAGTTAGGATAGTAGCCAGCTAGAAGAATACGTTTCATAGATAATGATTCAAGGTTGAGCCACTTGATTTTATGTTGAATTTTAGGCAATATTTCTAAACAAAAGCGATCAAGGATTGATTTAGCCAATGGATAGATATCACCATGCGACGAACATTTCATTAATGTTAAATGATTTGTAAAGACAGGATCACTTGCGACTTTATCAAGTTCTATATTAACGTCTATTATTGAATAAAGGACCTCAATATTGGTTAATTTGGTTAAAATCAACAGAAGTATCTCAACAGGCATATCCATTAGTTGAACACATGAATGTTCCATGTTCATTTGTGTTGCATCGGTCAATCTTTATCAACTATTTATATATCCTTTATTCTATCATCCGACGACGACAGCGAGAAGAAGCGTTTGTTTGTTTCTATATAGTCTAAATCGGTCATCAATGAGTGAACCAATGACTAACGCTGTTTCTCGCCCATTCATTTATGTGGCAACTCTAACGTAACCGACATCTACTGTTTCTTTATTCATAAAATGGCAATATTGTGACATACTTTGATTGTTGATTATGTTTGACTTCTTGAGTTTAGAATATTAAACGAAAAGTAGTTTTTTAGATATCAACTAAGTATTTCCAAATATAATATTGATCATCTATGCGTAATAACTACATGTATTTTTATTCAAGATCATATGCATTCAGTTGTGATGTTCGAAAAAATAAAATAACTTTTTTTCTCTCAAATAAAACGATTCATAGAAAAATTTCACGAATTAAAAGGATTGTTTTCATGAAAAACAAATTAAAAAAAATGATTAGCTCTCGTTTCGTCTAAAGCTTAATTCTTTTTCTGTTTCATAAAAAAAAAGGAATGCAAAGAAGTGGAATATACGCATATTATAATAATTGATTTGATTTGGTTTAACTCTGTGACGACGGATGACCCTGCATGGGGTCACAGTGGTTCCCTAGTATTTTGAAACACATAGATTCATATGTAATATCAGGTTTTGTGAAAGCATTTATCAGAGACCTTTTTGGTGTTCATCTTTTTCAAGTTCAAGACCGGAAAAACACTGCGTCTGTCGGACTTTCGACTGGAAGTGATTCGATTCATTCTCGAATCTATTGGAAGTCACAAGAACGAAAAAAAAGGAAGACCATCTTTGGAAAATCCAATGAGGCTTACTGCACAACATTTCTCTTCACTCATTCAAGGTTATTCAGCTGAAGGTACATATGAAAGAAGAAAGAGACGAAGGTGCCGTGTCTGCTGTAATACAGCAACAGCTCCAAAAAAATACTACAAAAAGATATGAGTGTGTTCAATGTAATGTTGGTTTATGTGTTGTACCTTCTTTTGAACTGTCTCACACTTTGAATAACTTCTAAACAGGCGTATTTATAAAAAGTTTTTATAAAATAGAAATGTAGATTGATTAATGATAAAATATGTCGAAAAAGAGAAATTTTATTTTTTTCCCAAAAACTCCGTCGCCAAAGGGTTAATGTCAATTTAATGTCTTTTCTCTTCGAAAACCCAATTTTTCGACAAAAAAAATCAAAATTGAGTTTTGTCATAAACAGATGCGACGAAGTTTCGTTTTTCAGAATATACATGGCTTTTTGCAAGATAACTAGATTCCAATAGGCTCATCAGAAAAGATTTAGACTCGACTAACTTGTTTTTCGAGAAATTCTCGCGTTTTTTTTAAACGTCTCAGTATTTGAAAGGATCTAGTTTTCCGTTTGCATCAACATCGAATAAAATATTTTATGTCAATCATTATGCGTCTACTAACGCTCAAGATAAGGATCACATGTTTATATTTCAGCCTGAACATTAGATATATAATTCATGCATATTTTGCAGAGACGAAAGATTTGGAATGAAAAATTCATATCTAAACTTATTTATCGATTTTCTCAAAACATGGTTTTTAGCAATAAATTTTGAAATTCTTGGCACACCGTTCAAGACATAACCAATATTTGTTTTCTTTTAAAATTCTGAGTGAGAGTAAGTTTGTTCTATCAGATTTTTTATATTTGATTCCTGAGCTGATGTAAGATAATGGGATTTAATATTGTGGGACGACGGAGGGGACTGGTTTTTTAGACTTATTTCAACCCAAATCTACTAAAATGCTTATATAAAATGAACGAAAGTGAAATTTAAAATTCTGCTAGGATAAAAGTTACGCACAAATATTGACGTTAATTTGAAATCATCCCGAGTTTTATAGTTCTTTTGATGACAGTGTCCTAGAGATTTCTCAGAGATCATAATTGGCCATAGGTAAGCCAGAACTTCAGTTTAGCTCGTCTTATGGGGTTGAAAGTTTTACCAAAAATATTTCTCATTAGGACCACTCATTCCTGAAAAACTCAGGTTAAGCGAATCTTGTTAAATAGAAAATCCATTGTGAGGGCGGGTGAAGTGGACTTCAACGAACTTCCGAAACGGAAATATTATTGGCTCATGCAAATTTTGGATTTAGAAGTTCTACCTTATATAATTAGACCGAAAAGATAATGTTAATTTAAAAGGACCTGTTCTATTCGAATGCTATAGGGTTTAATTTATTCAAAACAAGTTTGACAAACATCATATAATCATACATTTTCTCGCCGCTCATTAATAACAAAATCCATAATATAACCTAATCAAAAATTCTCTTTCGAGACTTTCTTGGAATTTGTACCGTCAGTTAAGACATGAATGTATAGTGCTTTGGAAGTTTTTATTGTAAAAATGAATAAGAGAAGCAGAATTTTAACATACTGCGCACTATATCAATTAAAGCGTAGTCTTTACTATCACTTCGAAATTTGTCAACTTTTTATAATCGTGTTTGAAGTTAAATAAGGAGATTTAGGACATCAAGTCTTTATTTCTTTGATAATCTTTTCCTGGAGATTAAGGTTTAACATGAGAAAAGGTTAATTTTTCGTGCATACTTATCCAATAGTTCTCTATATTTACTGTAATGTATTATCTTTCATGCTTCATTCAAATTAGTCTCCTGTTATTAAATATGACACAATATAGTTTTTATGTTTGCTCATAATGATGCGAAAGTTAGCCAGAAATCAGTCTTTACTGAAAGTATTTTTATAAGGGATTAGACAATTACATAATCACTTTGTTTCGATTTTTCTTGCTATTTGTGTCGATGATTACATTTGTTTACTTTTCTTCATATTGCACTTGACATCAACGGACGTTGGCCTCGTGCGCTGTAAAGAAGTAAGACGAAGAAAAGAAAGAAAACTTTCTCTGTATATGTATCTATACGAAATTTGGGTAAAAGCATTCACACTATTAAAGTAAAAGAATAATGCTCTTTTTGATTTCTTCGCTATTTGTAAACAGAAGGATGCAAACTTTCTAATCAAAACATGAATTACGCATTTCTTTCATATTTTAGATAATGTCTGACATTACTTTGGAAACATTGATCGATCAATTTCGCAATAAAATCAACGATATCATTGATTTTTTCATTATTAGTACGCATTGGTACGTATTAGAAAACCAGTATTTGCTTATGAAAAACAACCAGGTATCAAACAATTTTCTCTTTTTGAAATTTTTTTTGTACTATTTTCAAAAGGTGATCGAATTGATTGACAATTATACGAAGGATGATAATGGTAAAATGTTTCTAACTTATAAAAAAAATGATATTATGCTTAATGTGCATATGTTTTGTTATTTTGAATCGTTTATGGCTACCTTCAACGTGAGTTATATTACTCAAAAAAGTTCCTCATAGTATTCCACATAAACTATACTGTAGCGAAAAGGATGTATTTAAACGAAAGGGATAAAATAATCGTTAATTGATATGTGTTTCATTTTTTCTATTTGAGCTATTGCTATATACGTTGCTGAATATAATACTGTTATAATTACTTAATGAATATATAATCAAGAAACGAAAACAAATCCCAGATAACTTTTTATAGCTAATGTAAGATATGCTTCACTGCTTTATAGCTCCGTACTTGAAACTTGAGGTTGAAATGTTTGTAAAAAGAAACCAATGTTAATCTGTTTTTTTTAGAGATTACCGAATAACATGTTTAAACATGTACGATTACCATTACAACATGAAATTCATCGTACAGATTATGACTAGTATGTTATTTTTATGCCTGGTTTTTACAAAATCAATTTTTTTTCTTTTGTAGTGCATTTGGTGAAGTTGATAATAACTTATTAAGTTGTTAAATACAAAAACTGGAGATCTGTTCGCAGAACTTTCGACTGATAAAATAAGCAAGTTTTTAGCTCGATCATCATCAACATTATTTGGTAGCGTAGCTGGTTCTTTCTTTTCACCAGCTATCGAAGCTATTTGTAAGATGACGTTTACTTTTTTATATTAATCGTGTTGTTTTTATATAGGTATAGATACAAATATTGTTGATCCAGAAGAACAAGATAAAATCGGATAAAACTCAATATAGACTAGTCATAAGGATCTTATTTACCTTTATATCATATGTTTTAGTGTTGGTATGCTTGTTACACGAAAACCACAACCAAAAGTTGCTGATCGTGATCAAGAGAAAAAATAATATTTTTTTATAGAAAAAAATTATTTTCTCATGAAATAAACAAGAAAGTTTTTTTTAACTGGTAATAAAGTTGCTGCTAATAACAAACAAGAATTGATGAATTGTATAGAAGACAGTTAAATTGACTAATTTCTAAAGCAAATTCTGCATAAGTAGATCAATTTCAATCTACATATTAGCAGTAGCAAGACTAAGTGATGTTATTATTCGACCTAAAAGAAAGTTTAATCTATATATAAAGGGATCTTCATCACTTGAAATAAGTTTTAATTTTTTAAGTTTCAATAGATTGTTGTGCCCAAAAATTGTCTTGTTTCATCATTAGGCATTATTTCAAGTTGTGTTCTAATTGGATCAAAGCGATCGATAAGAGATCATTAGAACGAGATTCACTATCAATCTTATAATGTTCATTTAAATGTTGTGTACATATTCATCGTCGACATGCATGACATCGATCGTATGCATGCTGATGAAATTTATTAACTATTTCAAAATCTATTTGCGTCCTCCGTACGATCGAAATCAATTGGAAATTGCTCTCATCTAGCCAATAATTATTCTTACCAGAAATTAATATACCTCTATACATGTATTTGGCTATTATCTTTCAAAAAATACATTTCAAAAAAAATTTCTTTAGTCACAAATCATGAGAAGATGTTATGGATTGAATATCATATGAATTTTTTCAATATTCGATTTCTACGCCTAGTGAATAGTCATGGACAATGTGATCTAGAGATCTGTGAAGTTACACTTCTTAACTCTGACTTGGAAACATTTCGAAAGCTTGTTTCCCGTAAATTAGCGACAGTTTACGTATCCAACGATATTATGCAATTTGAAGTCGCATGAGGATGATGAAAGTACATTTAATGACGAAAGTGGAGATATTGATTGGTACTGATTTTTTTTCGCAATACTAGTTTGTAAAAGTTAATCCAGTGTAGAAACTTTCTTTTGTATTTTTTTCCATTCTATTTTATTCGGCTATTGAATTGACAATTTTCATTAACTGGATGCTGCAATCGTCAAAGATGAATACTACATCAGAAAAAAATGAAATAGAGTTTTCGAAGTTTCTATAATTTACATCAACTTCGACTCCGACGGAGTTAAGTTTTGAATTCTGATGCAATGCTCTAATGTGATTCTGACAGACACGTACCCAGGATTTTTAGGTATGCTGGATCTCAGCTTCAGAGCATGGGACCCAGATGAAACTTATGGAAGCTGATATTGGACCCAAATGATGAGTTTTTATGAAATAATTTTTGCGATCGTAGTTTGCGAAAAAAAAATTTTTTTTTTTTGGGCAGCCCCTAAAAATTTTTTGCTTTTAGTTGTATTCCGCTTTTCAGAGTTTGATCGTAATCTACATCGAATTTCATCGAAAAATATGCAGCCGTTCAGAAGCTATAACGTTTTGAATTTTTATGAAAATTTTTGCGCCATTTTGCAAAAATTCAAAACGTTATAACGTTTGAACGGATGCATATTTTTCGATGAAATTTTAAATCTGTCGATGAAATTCGATGTAGATTACGATCAAATTCTAAAAAATGGAATACTACCAAAAGCAAAAAAACTTTGAGGGGGGCTAAGAAAAAAAAAGATTTTTTTTCGCAAGCTCCGATCGCAAAAAAATTTTTCATAAAAACTCATCATTTGGGTCCAATATCACCCTCCATAAGTTTCATATGGATCCCATGCTCTGAAGCTGAAATCCAGCATGTACAAAAATCCTGGCTACGGCACTGATCATTTGGCAGGTTATAAGAATCGAATTTCATTTCGCATTAGGTACTAAGTTTGATTTTTTTGTCTCGCATATGATTTGACCTGGTATATTTTATTTCAAAATGCGAGTTGATTTTGCATTATCTTCAATTTATTAAAAGATTATTTGCTCTTGTATTATTCAAGTGAAATAGGATTCATTTTGTGTTATATCGATTAAAATGTAACTTTACTTACATTACTTTCAACTAATTGAAAAATGTTATCATTTGATTCGAGCAGTCTTGTTGTGAAGATTCAATCAAATGCATGGAAAACTTAAACTCCTTCTTTCTTTTTTCAATACTATGTTTTTCTTGCAAGTCCCCATTTTGTTTAAAAAACTTATTCTTAAAGTCTGCTTCTTTGTTCTTACCTCCACTGTTAATTTTTGTTGTCAGTGAAAATTTGTTTTCTGGTGTGTGCTTGAAAAACGTAGGTGAAGTTAGCCTCATATTCGAGTAAATCCAGCCAAGATTCGGCGCCAGAGCTGCCCTACCTGCGCCAGACAGCGCCAATATGCAACTCGACGAGCTCTATCCAATGGTGACTTTGGATTTTTCGTAG